AAAAAAAAAAAAAAAAAAAAAATTCTACAGCACACCTGGAGGCAGAACACAAGAACCCTGTTCTGAATTACTAATTTAGAAAAAGACACGGAAAGACATGGTTCTAGTGACCGGCATGAGAAATAATCTTTGGAGGAAAAAATATCCAATTATGATTTTAAGTTAAGAATGAGCAAAAGGGACATTTGCTTGTCGCAATTTAAATACCAAGTCCTGTATAATCAACAAAATAGTCATATGACTCTTGAGGGGGTTCTAGTATGGAGGAATGAAATAAATATACGCAATGAAGGGAAGAAGGAAGGTGAGAGAGTCCACTGACAAAAGATGAATCAAAGAATCTACCCTAAAGACACAGCAAGAACATTCAGAGAGAATACAGCAATGTAAACATTAGTTGGGAAATAGTGCTTTACACATTCTGTCAGTAAAGTTTTATATCTCTATACTAAGAGCTATGTGGTTTCTCTATGGAAAATATGTCCAAATTACTTTCTTTTTACAGAATTACAATCTTAGGATACGAAATATAAAAACTTCTAAGATTATCTGGATGAATGGTTTAAAAAGTTAAATTTATTTTCAAATGGGTGATAAATTCTCAAGGTTCACAAATCAAAGTAATTTTAAAAGCCATAGACAGTGAGAAGTCTCACTATCCCTCCTCCCCATCCACCCAGTTCTTCCACTTCCCATTCTCCCACCCCTTTTAAGTATTCTTCTCTTGTTTTCCCATGTAAATACAAATCAATATTTTATTCTTTTTGTTATATAAATAATAACATACTATACGGTTTTGCATCTTTTCAAAATTGTGACCATGATCCCATAGTAAGAAATATTTCACATCAGAATCTATTATATATACATTTAATAATATCAAAATAAATGTTTCAGAAATCAGTATGTATCCTTAATATGTATAATACCCTCTATTATGCTAAGTGAAGGAAGCCAGACCCCTCTCCCCACCAAAAATTACACAGTGATTCCATTTATATGAAACTCCAGAACATACAACGTGATCTATAGTGACAGAAAGCAAATCAGTGATTGCTTCCAGACAGGGACCAGAAAGGATTACAAAGGAGGATAAGGAAATTTTTAAAGGTTATGGCTATGTTCACCATGTTGACTATGGTGATGACTTTAAGGGTGTATACATAAGCCAAAACATGTCGAATACGTTTAAATATGTACAATTTACTGTGATCAATTATACTTTATAAAAATGTCTCCCCAAAAATCTAACCTATAAAAAAGGACCTAACAAAATGAAATCTTATTCATTGCTTTATCTGGTAAATGCACAAAGTAATGACCTCTTTGCACAGACAAAGAGAACTCATAAATTTACTTACAAAAGGGCTTCAAAGTTTCTCTTATTTTATGCCTGGCTTCCATTTGCAAAACAAATTAAAAGAGACATAAGGACTGCTAAATTGTGGTAAGATTATTTACTGGTACAGAGCAAGTCTCACAGCTGGCTGAATAAGATTTATGAAAGAAAAACTATTTAAAAAGCAAACGGAAGACCTGAACAAAACAGTCTGTTATCATGTAGTGTAAAGGCAAAGTTCATAATTCAGGATAGACCTAAAGGGGTTTAAAGAAATCATACCAGCAAGCATTTATAGAGCTGTTAGTATACAGTCTATATATACAGTGGGCTAAACACTTATACCTACATTATCTCATAACAACCCTTGAAATATTATTGCTGTTTCAATTTTACAGATGGGTACTGAGGCTCCAGATACTTGAGGAACTTCCCCAATGACCCATAGCTACTAAGTGGCAGCACCAAGTCTTGAACCCACATCTAACTCCAAAGCCATGCTTTTAAAAACTATGCTGTGCTTCATAATGATGACCGTGAGGCATCAAGCAAAGGTTAAGTTGTGTTTAGTAAAACTATATGTAAAAAGGGAAGAATGTGACCAACCTTAGAAAGATTTTCATAAAAATAATTGAAGAGATTGAGATAGCTAAATCAATAAATTTCAGATATATGGAAAATACCCTTGTGACAATGCCAAAAATATTAGGCGTTACAGTCTAAATTCTACTTCCTGCAACTACCTTATACGGTGTCTATCTATGACTAACATTTTTTTTTTAAAAAGCCAAAAAGATTCAAATGAACATACCTGATTGTCTGAATAAGAAAGCTGCCTATTGGTTTCCTTCTGTGAGGTCCTACTGCCCAGAATGGCTCCAAAACTACCAGACCCCTGAGAAGGTTTCATGGCTGATGACAAAAAAAAAAAATTCCCAAATCACTCACTGTAATAAAAAGATTTATCATTATTATTTTATATAATATTGAAGAAATGGAACAGCAGGAAAAAGATAAAATAAATCAAAGTGTTTAACCAATTCTTTC